GGGAGACATTAGAGTTTGAATCTAATCGAACCACCAAAAATAAGAAAGGGGGTTTGTAGTTCATCGTCTATACTTGAATTTACGAAAGAAAAAAAGAAATTTATTGTTCTCTAACTTTTAAACGTTTGTATATCATGGAAACATGAATACAAGCATTCTTCCTTCATTTTTCCCAAAGCATAAAAAATATTTTATAACTTATTATTGGGTCATTTGCAACAATAACTAAAAAAAACTACTCCAATTTATAATCTAGCCAAAAGATAGATAGGAAGAAAAAAAGAGAGCAAAAGTGGAAAATTGTTAGCTTGTGTATTATAGTTTTTTGTTAGTTATATATGCTAATTTCCCCTTATTTAATAAGTAAATGAAATGACACATAACAAAATAACACACAAAAATAACATTATCTTTTGACACAAATATTAAAACACAAATCCGCGCATGGCGCGGGTATTCACCTAATTAATAATAAAATTTAGTTATTAGCAAAAACACTTCAGAGAACTTAACATCTAAGCAAAATGATCTTAAAAAAACTTCTGTTTTGGATGTATAGAGGATAGTAGATCTCCCGCGAGATAGAAATGTAATAGAAAAGAAAGAAATCATGAATTTTGAACTTGAAAGGAAACGCGTGGGTATCTTTTATTTGACACAACAAGTAAAATCATTGGTGGGTTTACATGAAATATTAGATGACATCTAAAAGCTGCCCATATATCATCCCCGTAAGCAAAAAAACATCTTCCTGACTTTTCATTTCCCACTATTTACAAAATTAAAGCATAGAATTTAACCTGATTAATAATATTTAATTACGTTTAGATGTTATTTTATAATTTTAATCCCTTCCTTTTTTATTATAAATCTCTTGAACCTATCTTCTTGATTCAAAACAGTAAAGAAATCGACAAAAGAAAACCACAGATAACGAAAAAGGGGAAACAAAAAAATAAAAGAAACAAGTAAAAATCTAGTGTTGAGCTTTTGTCCATCAGTGATCAATCGCTAAAAAGATTTTCTCGTTTTTTTTTTTTGTTTGTCAATCGAAGAAAAAGGAGGAAGACGATCATCAAATGCGTGTTTTCTACTTACAGCTCAAGGTGATCGATCATCTTCGGTTTCTTAACCACTTTGAATCGATCGAAACTTTTCGCTTCTTTTGCTACCTCTTTCTTTGGAGGAATTTAGGGTTCTTGTATGTAATTACTGATTTTTTTTGTTATTGTGGAAACTACTGAGTTAAGGACAAGCCTTGTCGGCTTTAGTCGGAATCATAGATCTGGTCTTGTCATAATTCGTCTGGGTTTCAATCCTGCCAAGTTGAACTAAAAACCCTTCTAGTCTTGTGTAGAAATCATCACTACTTCAAAACTTCAATGGTGCTTGTAAAAAAAGCTGAA